CATGAAGAGAAATCATTAACTCCTCACAGCATCAATTTGTTGTGAGGACTGTGTTTACAGTGGTGCCAGACAGTATACTGGGCACTCACATCGCTCACTGACATCAACTGAATAAACTGTGAACACTCAGTACCAATGTTACTCTGAAAATAGGAGTATTGAAATTCTTCAGACCAGAAATTAAGATATATTTCACTGATTTTAAGGGCATCAGTTACCAGCATTCTCCAAGGCTACTCATTTAGGTAACTCTGGACTTTGCGAAGCCTTGATTCTTCTGTTGTGTTGCTTCAGTTTGTGCGAAATATACAGAAATAAACATTATAATGTAAAATCATGTAATCACATATTTGTTCAGTACATAGCTAAGAACATTAATCCAGTACACAGTAAACCTGTGATCTGTACACACTTATCCCAGGCCTGAAGTGAAAAACTAGCATAAACATTATGATCAATCACACACTGAAACTATCGGACCACACAAATACTGTCTTAAAAATTAGAAGTGACAAGCAAGCTGCTCATTTGAGGCTTTTTATCCTAGACAATTAACATTTTCCACTGGTGTTTCTTTTCCCATTCTGTCTAAATGGCCAGGGTATAGAGACCTGTCCTGGGTTCAGCAGCAGCAGTCATGTTTCTCCTTTGTGGTAGCTGGTGCAGTGCTGTGCTTTGACTTCCAGCCTGGGAACAGTGCTGGTGATACCGATGTTTTTGATTGTTGCTAAGCGATGTTTACCCTGACCAAGGACTTTGTGAGGCTCATGCTCTGCCAGGGAGGAGGGGAAGCTGTGAGGAAGCAGAGACAGGGCGCCTGACCCAGGCTAGTCAAGGAGGTATTCCATACCACAGCACGTCATGCCCAGGGTGGGGGGTAACTGGGAGTTACCCAGAAGGACACGGGCTTCCGGGTGGGACTCGTTTTCTTGGCCGGTGGTATCGCATTCTCTTCCCTTGTTATTTTCCCTTATCATTGTTGTAGTTGATAGTAGCGGTGGTGATTTGTGTTGTACATTGGTTGCTGGACTGTTCTTGTCTCAACCTGTGGGAATTGCACTCTTTCAATCTTCCTCCCTGTTCCTCTGGCAGCGGGGAAGGAGAGAGCCCCGGGGGGGGGTGGGGGGGTGGGGGGGTGGGGGTGGGGGGACAACACACCTCGATTGCTCTCAGCCTGGCACCACTCACTGGGAGTGAGTGAACAAGCTGTCTGGCTAGGGTTTAAACCACGAGAGTTCTTTTTGGCACTCAAAGTGGGGCACGAGGGGTTGAGATAACGACAGATCTGACTGGCTTAATAGTCACTCATCACAATGCTGATTTATTGGCTCTCAAGGTTGTTCCTCTTGATCTCACAGTTTCACTATATCATATCTTACTTCCATCCGGTATTTGCTGTATTAGTGTTTTTCAAGTGTGGGGCTTGGGCTAAGGCTTTTGTCTCATTGTACTTTATGGTAATGACTTGTAATACAATAGAATCATTGATCATGAGACTGATCTGGCTTATGTTCCCAGTGTGGTCACCACCTTTATACTTTGGGAGGTATATAATAGAAGTGCTTAGCAATTACACATCTTTTTTCTCCTTCTCAGGTGCTCAACCTGTGAAGGAGACATCCTTTTACCCTCCCAGTCTTCCACCCAGACCATTTACATTTGAGAGTTTTGAAGTTTTTGAACGGCCTTTTAATGTTGTTGAGACTTGTTTGCTGATAGTGATGGGAATCACCATGCTAGCACGCATACAGAGTGTGTTTTGCCCACGACTGATTTCAAGAGTTAAGCAGAGTCAGGTTTGGGTCTTGTCTGGGGTCAAACGATGATGTAGGAGGACCAAGAGATTTTCCCTGAGGCTGGATAGTCATGAGTGGCAGCGTGTGTGGGATAGTATGGGCAAGTACCTAGGTCAGTGGGCCCCTCCAGTACTTTGGAATTTCACTACCAAACAACTGCAAAATCCAGAAGAATTAGTAAAACACTTAAATGAGGTGTGTGGTCATTCTGGCCATACCAGAGATGGACAAATCATGGCAACGTGCTGGGACTTGGCCTATGCTTACAGGGCCTTGTTCAACACTATCCAGCACCTTCAAAAGGAAAAGAATTTTGGTGGACCTGAGGGCAAAGCAACAGTCAGCACAGCTACTCCAGCTCCAGGCACAGCAGCTTCACCACCCCCAGCGACAAGTACAGTCGCTACTCAAACTTTGGCTGCAATGAACAGAGCAGCTACCTCAGTGGCAAGTCCAGTAGCTGCTCAAACTTTGACTGCAACAGACAGTGCGGTCACCCCAGGTCCAAGCACAGCAGCTACACCACCCCCAGCAACAAGTACAGTCGCTACTCAAACCACAGTGATAATCACTGCAGCCAAACCAGAGGACCAATTCGTACCAATATTGGTTGCCCCTGTACGCAAGAGAACAAACAAAAAAGAGGCAAGAAGGGTGAAGCGAGATGAAGAACCAATGAATTCACCACCTGGTCCAGCATCTGATCAGGAGTCATCATCACATGATGAAGAAGAAGAAGAGGTAACTTCTTGACCTCGGACCTCAACCGAGCTGCGGAATATGTGAAAAGATTTTACCCGTCAACCAGGGGAGCACATCATCACCTGGTTACTCCGATGCTGGGACAATGGGGCTGATGGTCACGAGCTAGAAGGTACAGAATCCAAGCAGCTGGGATCACTTGCTAGAGAAGGGGGAATTGACAAAGCAATTGCAAGAGAGAAAAAGTCCCTCAGCCTTTGGAGGCGGCTCTTGGCAGCTGTGAAAGAAAGGTTTCCGTACAAGGACGATGTTACGAGTCGTTCGGCCAAGTGGCCTACTATAGACAAAGGCATCCAGTCTCTGAGGGAATCAGCCATCGTAGAGATGCTCTATCACATCAAGCCAAGTAACGGGGATGCACCTATAGATCCAGATGAAGTTGAATGTACATGACCCATGTGGTGAAAACTTACACCATCATCATATGCCCATTCATTGGCAACAGTAACCTGGAATGACATAGTACCACTAACAGTGGATGAAATGGTTCATAAACTCTGAGAGTTCGAAGACAATCTCACCCCTTCCATCATCTCAGCTGTGGAAAAACTGTCCCAGGACATCGAACAATTGAAGGACAATCTATCTGATTTATCCAGCTCCTCACGTGTACCAACACACGTCTCAGCTATTAACAAAAGGTGTCCTATTGTTCGAGAGAGGAGATACAGAAGGTATACGCCACGGGGTACCCTATGGTTTTACCTGTGGGATCATGGAGAAGACATGACAAAGTGGGATGGAAAACCTACTTCAGCTTTGGAGGAACGGGTGAGTGAACTGAAGAGGGGAGCATGGGCCAAGACTGATCATCCCATGAGAGCTACAGCTTCGGTCTCTGGTGAGCAGGTTCCCAGATGGAATGGAAGAGCTGATTTTACTCCAGCTCCTGTGATAACGAAGAATAATCCCTTTCAACACGACTTAAGTGTCCAGTGCTGTGATGACCATTAGAGGGGCCCTGCCTCCAGCCAGGTGGAGGTAAGGGACAATCAGATTTACTGGACTGTGTGGATCGGATGGCCTGGTACATCACTCTCACAGAAGTATAAGGCTCTAGTAGATACCGGTGCACAGTGTACCCTGATACCATCAAGCTGCCAAGGGTGAAACCCATCTATATTTCTGGAGTGACAGGAGGATCCCACGAGTTGACTGTGCTGGAGGCTGAAATCATCCTGACTGTGAGGGAATGGCAAAAGCACCCTTTGTGACTGGTCCAGAGGCTCCATGCATCCTCGGCATAGACTACTTCAAGAGAGGGTACTTCAAAGACCCAAAAGGGTACCGATGGACTTTTGGTATTGCTGCTTTGGAGACTGAGGAAATTGAGCAGCTGTCCACCTTGCCTGGTCTCTCAGAAGATCCCTCTGCTGTGGGATTGCTGAAAGTTGAAGAACAACAAGTGCCAATTGTGACCACAACAGTGCACCGGCGGCAATATTGCACCAACCAAGACTCCCTGATTCCCATCCATCAGCTGATCCGTAGACTGGAGAGTCAGGGAGTGATCAGCAGGACCCGCTTGCCCTTTAATAGCCCCATATGGCCAGTGCGAAAGTCTAATGGAGAATGGAGACTAACAGTAGACTGTCGTGGCCTGAATGAAGTCACACCACCATTGAGTGCTGCCGTACCGGACATGCTAGAACTCCAGTATGAACTAGAGTCAAAGGCAGCCAAGTGGTATGCCACGATTGATATTGCCAATGCATTTTTCTCAATTCCTTTGGCAGCAGAGTGCAGGCCACAGTTTGCTTTTACTGGATGTAGACAGATCCCCACAGATGTGATCAACAAGATAATAGCAATGTCTCCACCAACTAATAAGAAAGAAACGCAAGCTTTCTTGGGTGCAGTGGGGTTCTGGAGAATGCCCATCCCAAATTACAGTTCGATTGTAAGCCCTCTCTATCATGTGACCTGGAAGAAGAATGATTTTAAATGGGGCCCTGAGCAACAACAAGCCTTTGAGCAAATTAAACGTGAGATAGTTCATGCAGTAGCCCTTGGAGCAGCCCAGCGCAGGCCAGATGTAAAAAATGTACTGTACACTGCAGCTGGGGAGAACGGTCCTACCTGGAGCCTCTGGCAGAAAGCTCCAGAGGAGACTCGAGGTCGACCCCTTGGCTTTTGGAGTCGGGGATACAAAGGATCTGAGGCCAGCTATACCCCAACTGAGAAAGAGATACTGGCAGCCTATGAAGGGGTTCGAAAGTGATTGGCCCTGAAGCACAGCTCCTCCTGGCACCCTGGTTACCCGTGCTGGGCTGGATGTTCAAAGGCAGGGTCTCCTCTACACATCATGCAACTGATGCTACATGGAGTAAATGGGCTGCACTAATTACACAACGAACTCGAATAGGAAATCCCAGTCGTCCAGGCGTTCTAGAAGTCATCATGGACTGGCCAGAGGGAGATTTTGGAATGTCACCAGAGGAGGAGGTGGTGCGTGCTGAAGAGGCCCCACCGTATAATAAACTGTCAGAAAGTGAAAAGCAGTATGCCTTGTTTACTGATGGGTCCTGCCTTATTGTGGGAAAGCATCGGAGATGGAAGGCAGCTGTATGGAGTCCTGGACGACAAGTTGCAGAAACTGCTGAAGGAGAGGGTGAATCAAGTCAGTTTGCTGAGGTGAAAGCCATCCAGCTGGCCCTGGACATTGCTGAACGAGAAAAGTGGCCAGTACTTTACCTCTATACTGACTCATGGATGGTGGCAAATGCCCTGTGGGGGTGGTTGAAGCAATGGAAGCAGAGCAACTGGCAACGCAGAGGTAAACCCATCTGGGCTGCTGCACTGTGGGAAGATATTGCTGCCCAGGTGCAGAACCTGGTGGTGAAGGTACGTCATGTAGATGCCCATGTACCCAAGAGTCGGGCCACTGAGGAACACCAGAACAACCAACAAGTGGATAAAGCGGCTAAGATTGAAGTGGCTCAGATGGACTTAGATTGGCAACATAAAGGTGAATAATTTTTGGCTCGGTGGGCCCATGACACTTCAGGCCATCAGGGGAGAGATGCAACATATACATGGGCCCGTGATCGAGGGGTGGACTTAACAATGGACACTATTGCCCAGGTTATTCATGAGTGTGAAACATGTGCTGCAATTAAACAAGCCAAGCGGTTAAAGCCTCTTTGGTATGGAGGACGATGGTTGAAGTATAAATATGCAGAGGCCTGGCAGATTGACTATATCACACTGCCACCAACCCACCAAGGCAAGCACCATGTGCTTACCATGGTGGAAGCAACCACCGGGTGGCTGGAAACATACGCTGTGCCCCATGCCACTGCCCAGAGCACTATCCTGGGTCTTGAGAAACAGATTTTGTGGCGACATGGCACCCCAGAGAGAATTGAGTCAGACAATGGGACTCATTTCCGGAATAACCTTATAGATATTTGGGCCAAAGAGCATGGCATTGAGTGGGTATATCACATCCCCTACCATGCACCAGCCTCCTCCCTGTTCCTCCAGGAGCGGGGAAGGAGGGGGGGGGGCGGGGGCTCGATTGCTCTCAGCCCAGCACCACTCACTGGGAGTGAGTGAACAAGCTGTCTGGCTAAGGTTTAAAACACAACAAGACCTTTACCCAACCATTCAAAAATGTTATTTTCTGCCTCTGAAGTTCTCGTGTCCCCAACAAAGATGCCAGTGTGAAGGACCCCATTGTGGGTACTGAGCAGTGACCTGGACATCCCACCTTTCCATGTGGGTGTTATACCTAGAGAGTTAGAGAGAATTAAGAATAGCTGATTGGTTGCTACCAGTTTACTGGTTTGAATGGAATGGTCATACCCTAGACATGGAAACAGCTCCTTTCTGTTACCACAAAAGCTTTCATCTTAGAACAAAAGACTGAAATTTGTGCATTATGAACTAGACAAAATCCTTTGTAACCTAGTTCTTTTCATAATAACAGCACTTTTTTTCACTATGTCTTCTCATCAATGATATCCTCTTTTGGATCTGTTAACTCCTCCATCTTTTTTTTCTCTTCTGTCCAGTTTCCTGTTTCTTTTGGTATATTCAATATTTTGAGGTTAGCCTACTTTGCGATGTTAGCGTTTATGTATATTGATCCACTCTCTTAACAATTTCATCTTACTTGTGAATTACATCCTCATCTTCCACTAATACCACATTCATCTGAATTTTTTTTCCATTAGCCTGATTATTTTGCTGCCTTTAATGCTTTTATTTCTGCAAATGGCTTTCTTGATTTTTTTCTCTTTCCACATAGCAGGCTGCCCAGCTCTTTTTCATTTGGTTTGTTGTTTTCCCCAAGCTGTTCATATGCCAATGTTAATTTATTTCAGTTTCAAATGGTTTTCATTTTAAAGTAACAGAGTGGAACCCTTTCATAGCAAAATAGCCACCTTTAAGGAAGAAATTTAAGGAGGTTCACCAGAGCCAGAATTGCCATTGGAATCAATTGTTTCTTTCATTTTCTTTCCATAAATTGTGCTGATAAAGAAATGCCCTAGGCTCAGCAAAGAATAAAGGGTTAATCAGACTCTGCTTTGCTTCTGTTAAGTTAAACAGTTACATGTGGTCCAAGATACTAGGCCATGATCTAAGTGGCAACTTCATGCAACATTAAGCACATGAATAAGCAAGCAGATTCTATTTCTTGTTACTTTTCAAAGACATCTCCAAACATGCTTAGCTTTGCTATTTTACCTCAGTATCTGCATAGGACAAAGTGTCAGCAACATATGCTGAGGGAAGGATTGATAGGGAAAGAGAGGCATGGAAGTTGTCCTTCCCATGCAATGAGTTTGCAGCTTTACAAGTCCCTTCTTTCACCATTTAGATGGAGCTACTTCCACCACTGTATGCAATGCATCACTTGGATTATTTTCAAATAGTTCTATTTTTAAGGACAATAACTTGTTTTGGAGTTACCCTGAGTTATGTCATTGTACCACTGTGAACTGTTATGTTGAGAGACATGCTATAAAGAAGCTAGCAAATAAATTAGATGGGGTCCTCTGAAAGGAATGATTCTCATTAGGACATGTGTCTGAGCACTCTGCTGCTGGTGGCAGGTGAGGAGGGATTACATTTCTCCAGAAACCTTCATTACCTTTCAGGCTTCCAAAAGAAAACGGACAGATCTGCCTCCCCTGCCTTTCTCCCTTTTCTCTTCCAGTCCTCTTTTCAGGAAACAGGGTGATTTTCAGCAGCACAGAATGAGAAAACTATAGTTGGAAACAGATGCATCTGGTTTTTCAGGAGGGTCTTGACTCAGATTCCACCTGCACTTTGAAGCAATCTTTGTGAACTAGTAAACACCTAGGCTAATTTATCCTATCTTTTTTGTTGACTTAGTAGAGGTGATAGTTCCCGCTTGTGTGCTGAGTCATTTGTGGATAAAGAGATGTTCACCTATCATCATGATCTTTGAAGTCAGAAGACTAAATCTATCAAAAAGATACATTTTCCCAAAGTCCCAGTGTAGACTAGACTATATTCATTTTTTGCAAAGTTGTAAGCTTGGTTAAATATTTATATCTTTAAATCACTCTGGGTTTAGAGAGCTTTAACTTTGCCATTATTGGAGAGCAGTATTTCATTCTTACTGTTCCACAGTAGTACCCAACTTTTAAGAAGCTCACCTGTTAACTTGTCTTCTAGTAGAGGAAAACAGTTATTTAGCCAGACTCTAATTCATTATTTTTTTTCCCTGTAGGTAGTTAGGGCCTGGTGGCCGGAAGATATCGCGCTGTACAGAAAGATAGAGCCCCCTGTTTAATAGCCAATAGTATGTAGCTTGTGATGTAAGCAAACGGAAGTGACGCTGTAAACCCAGAGTATATAACGCTGTGTTGCGAACTAATAAACGCCATTTGCCGTCCACCACACTGGTGTCTGTGAGCTGATGGCCCGAGCGGCCTGGGGTTGGTCGCCGTGCCGTTCCTGAACCAGGTCACCACGCCTTGCGAAGGCAACATATTCCCCATATTCAAGTCCTGTTTACCCACTTTGGTAGTAAAAAGATTACACTGGATTCATATCAGTGGAATTATCCTCATTACCCTTCTGAAGCTTTCGTATTTGAAGCGAGGTCTGAATCCTCCAGTAACAAATGTATATTGTCATTGAAAATAATTAAAGGTACTGTTTAGAAACAAGAACCGAAAAAAACAAGTGGAAAATGTTAACAATTTTAGTTTTAATTTTATTTTTTTTTTCTGTGGATTCCCAATAGTGATTACCATATACATTGGTGTACTGGGAAGACTTCTCAAAGTAGAGATAAATAACACTTTCTAATGAACAGTGAACAATAAATTGAAAAGTAAAAACAGATGAGGCATAAGAGACCAAGATACATATTTCTCCCCATCTGGCTAATTTTAAACTTTATACAAGGCAATAAAACACTTATGAAAAGGTAAGGAAAGCACTTGAAGAGGGAAAAAAACAGTGTGATCTACTAATAATGAGAACATTTTCCCTGAACACAGCAACAAAATTACACAAACTACAGAAAAAATATTAAAATGTAAGAATTTAAATGAATATATGCCACTTTTATTTATTACAAAGCCAGGTTTTTGAATGATTTGTTTTCATTCCTGAAAGAGACTGCTTTGTCAGCTGGAGGAAGAGACAGTTTGAGATATCAAGATAATGTAAAAAATTATCTATCTTGATACGCTAAACGTGCATGGTTTCAGTTCATTTACCAAGACAGAGGAGAAACCTAGTTAATTTCCTTTCTTCTCTCTAGATTCTTATTGTAGGAGAAATTAAGCAAGCAAAAATTTAAGTAGAGAGAACTGCTATTTCATTTGGAAAAATAAATTCTAGTCTGTTGGAGTGGCTGCCTAAATAATGCCATTTGATAAGACTTTGCCTGTAAAAAGAAACTATGCAGGATAAATCCTTGTTCAGCCTTACTTTTATGCTGTGTGTTCTTGCCTGACGAATACATTTGGAATTGTTCTACAGATTACTAGATTTGTGTTTCTCTTCTCTCCCAATGCAGAGAGGATTGCCAGAGACTTTGCTTACCCCTAAGGACAAGCAAGAAAGTATCAGAATGCTCTTGAAGCAGCACAGCTTTCAGGAAGAAAGAATCTAGTGGAAGCACAAAATGTGTGGATGTAGCTGCAAAGATAGCTGCATTTTAGAGTATTCTCCAATACTTTGTGTTAAAAAGGAACTTGTTCAGCTTTAGGAGCATGGTTGAACTTGTTGTACTGTTAGCCTCAGCAGGACAGTAAGACAAACACACAGACAAGACAACATCCAGAGCAGCAAGCAAAGAGAATACCAAAACTTGGTCTTCAAGAAAAGCCGAACTTGTATGTGGAATACCATGCCCAAACATGCAAACAATTCTGTGCAGTGAATAAAAATGAGAAAATGAAGGCAAAGTTCCTTTATGGGATATTAGGGGTGGGTGGGAACAGAAACTGTTGCAGAAGTAATGAAAAGGAACCTGAAACAATTGATGAAGGTGTTGGATAACAGACAAAGCAAGACTGCAGAACTAGAAGATTTTACTTCAAACCAAGAAGCACAAGATAGTAGACATATTACAAATCTGAGATCTAAAACACCCGCAGATAACTCTCTAAGAAATCTTTTTTCAAAGGTATTGTGGTACAAGAGACTCCAGCTTGTGGAAGGTATTCTTGAGAAACAGAGAATGCTTTGTTGGAGCAGAGCTGATTGAACTGTCTGGGAGGAGCAACAAGCCAAAGCAGCTTGTGATTTACAATAAATATACAGACTAAATTAAAGGAACCAAGGAAACAGAACAGGGAATTCATCACGTCAAATATTAGCCACCTAAAAAATTAGGCATACTCTAAGCTGGTCATCTCTAGTTAATGGAGAAAACTGGTTCCTCTACTGGGTGAATCATTTCAATCTAAATCAAAGACAAGTGGGACTAACAGCTTTCTAAAAATGCCTATCTCTTTCCCCTGACAGTAAGTTCTAAAATTTTACTTCAACAGGTCAATTTTAAATTATTAATAGTAGATGAAATAAAGGATTTTTCTCAGTGTCATTATTACACTGGGAACTAGCATGGAAAGAAGAAGCAGAACAATGCCTTGCCTTTGAGTCATGACCTAAATTTTTTTTAAACAAAATCACTTTCTGTCCTAAAGTGACTTCTGAAATAAAAAGAGAAGAAAAATCCAAGCAGTTATTCATCAGTAACAGGTATCAATTGAAGAAGATATCTGGAGCTTGACTCTAGCAAATATAGAGAAATCCACTGCACGGAAACAGCAGAAGGAAGCCACTATTCAACTGCCACGTTTACAATGATGTTATTAGATTAATGAGCAATTCAATTCCAGATGGTACACAGAGTCATCTGCAATGTAATCCAAGCAACACTGATAAACTGAAATATTAGATCAATGACCGATTTTATTCCAGATGGATTGTGGAGCCAGCCACGATGTAATCCTAGTAACACTGAT